GGTGGGTGGGTGTGGGTGTGGGTGTGTGTGTATTATATTGTTAAGTGTCCCTATCATTTGGAAAGTTCTGGCTTAATGCCCAACTTTGGCTTGTGCAACCAGACAACAGATACTAACGGGAAGAGGCTGTTTGCTGAAAAGGCTTGATCACGAAAGCAGGCGGATTTACCTGCATTCACTTCATGACAGTGAAAAAATTCCCTAAAGATTCCCTGAGGAGCTTCCACTGCAGATGAATACATCGCTAAAATAGGGCAAGCGAACGGCTGTACATTTCATACAATGCCAGCCAGCCTGCGTAAAATACTTAGGTGGAAAAGGTTTCCAGCTGTACAGATGCGGAATATTGGACTAGCCTAGAGCGGGAAACTTTCGCCCGTATAAAACTCTCTGGACGAAAACTTTTATAAACTTCCCACTTACTGAACCTCGCCAGAGCAGTGCAGCGTAGCATATGAGCTTTGAGAAGAGCTGCAGTGCGAAGGAAAGGCAGCCGTTTGTACCTTCGGCCCAACGGCTTTTGGATACACTATCAGAAGTAGAGCATGCACGTGGTAGGAATCGGGTGTATGAACCCTTCAACTTCGTGCGTTGGCGAACAGTATATGGGGTTTCCACCAACCGCTATAAGGGAAACGTTGTTATCCTGACACCAACGGAACTATCAGTGTATATTCAATTTTCATGTGTGGGGGCTCAGCTGGGCTGGCAGGCTGTGCTGCCAGAACAACGAGCTAAAGAGCAAACATACCCTAAAGCGCGTCAAAGGCAAAGGAAAGGAGGCAACTCAGTATCTAAATAAATGCATCCACTAGCCAATAAACCGCACTGCGAGTTACGGTATCGGTCAGAAAATTGTATGAACGGTGCGTAACTGGAGCAGTTGATACCACCATCAACACTCTGAATATGCTCCAGGCACCGAAGGAGCGTAATGGTGTCTGTACTTGCTTCTGAAATGCGAAACTTATCCAAACACGCCGTTTGATATTGAAAGGTTCAAACGTCGCTTGTGTCTCCCGGTGTTTCAACCAAAATTTCTCCTACCTGCCTTCTCGTAAGAACCTTATTATAGAGTTTGTGTAGTGACCAGCTGGCCTTCACTGTTACTACGTGTGTACCCTAAAAGCTATTTTGATTAAGTGGACACTCTACAACTAACTACTAAAATCCATGATTCTCGCTAAACCCTCTACTTAACACAATAAAAAGCCATTATACATTCGAGTTTATATATGTTTGGGGGCGAAAAACCCCGCGAATAGTAGAACTGGCCCTCGACCCTCGCTGAGGGTCAGTGCCCGAATCACAGCAACAGCCTCACACCCAGCCCCAAGCTGGTGCCGGCTGGCGAGCACTCTGGTTCTATAAAGCTGCTTTTCTATCTAATAGTGTCCTAATCCCTGAAGTATTCTATAGTATTTATTACTTTTCGTGATACTAGGCCACTAGAGGTCACACCAGAGATCCATTGTAGTGCCCGTGCACTACAGCTTGACCCCTTCAGTTTATGGGGCGAATTTGGGGAACCGAACTTTCTGGTAGGGCGCCTAAGAAAGGGCTTCAAAAGCGCTTTCTCACTCTTAGACAGCTTAGCATTGCGAATGCCAACAATGATCTCGGCAGTTTAACACCCCACTGAAGCTCCAGTTGCACGCTGCTCAGCACTTAGCCGCTGGTGCACCGTGAGTCTTGCAAACGTATTGAATCTTTTTACTTTGGAATGCCGGTTTGGTGAGGGTATATCTATACCAATGCGAATAGCGATAGAGCTGTTCGAAGTGCCCGCGCCTCGCTTATAATTTCTTGCCTTCCCTGCACAGCACAGAAGGCACCATTTTTTCGCATGGTGAAAGCTCTTGAATGCTGCAATGATCTCGTCAGGAGGTTTGTGTATATTTTTTTCATTAACTGGCTATCTTGTAGCATTGAATGTATATGACAGTGAAAGATCAGCACTGGAGCGTGTGGAGGTACACCTGTACGCTGCTGGACAGCCCCAAGAAGGTACTTAGTGTGTTGTCCCGGTCATGTAATATAGCAGTAGCGCACCGCGAGGTACGTGAAACTCCCTGCTTTGTTTTCGATTTGCCGCAAAACTGCTGCAATGCTCTGCTTAAGCTGATGATCCAAGATAAAGTTTCCTAATGCCGCATCGGTCAGAAGTGATCCAACGCAGGCCTTACAGTGCCCCCTGCGAAAGTCACGGTCAATATACAGTGTACAATGCTTGTGAACTATCATTCTGACCGACTTGATATCAATCGCGACGTGAACCAGCTGGATAATACTTACCATGTGTCCTGGTTGAGAGCTCTCTCTAGTGGATATAAGGCCTCCAAAACGGTCCTCACGCCATAATCGTAAGCTTTCTCAGCACAGTACAGAGTGCCGACGATTAGCTTTGCAACGGAGCAATATGGAATGGAATCCTCCCATCCAGGTGAAGTGAAGGCACTTCGAAGTTTGCATTGCTCACTTGCGTTCAAAACACTGAAACAAAACCCACGATGAGCAGAAAATGAGTGAATATTAACCAGAAGCATGTGTAGGTGGTCTCCAGGAGGGCAACAGTAGATATTTTCGGATATTTTGCCCAATCACTGCATTTGCATGAAACGACTACGCATCCTTTCGTGCGTAGGTCATGCAATTGTGTGGCCTTCCGGAGATGAGCGCACTTGAGAAGCTGCTGCGCTTGCTCGAGATGGCCTAGGAGGATGTTCGCAACCAATGCATTCGCCAGAGCGACAACTTCCCACCCTTGCAGGGTTCGTCCGCATACGTCAGTTCGAATGGCGTCTTCGTAAAGCGAAAGGCACCTGTCATATTTTTTCTGCGCAAACCAGCACTTTCTTTGCATTGGTGTGAAGCAGACGCTGCTTTCATGTCTGTGAAGACCAATGAAAATGAGTTCTTCTTACTTGCATGAAGAGAATGTGCGCCATGTTGATTTTCCAGCAGGTATTATCGCTGTACAGGCCTCCATACAAACCGAGAAGCCTGTAGAAAATCATTTGGCAGCAACCCAATATCCTTCCCGTTGGGTGGTTTTGGATTATCGCACCCAGTCAGCCCCAGTGAATCCTGATTTGTCACCCGTAGCAAACTTCATGTCTTTTTGGCATACTCACTTCTCGGCCTTTCCAAACTTCCCTTCTGTGCTATACGACTCTGCCAATGCCATTAAAACCTGCGCAACTCCATCTTAGATGCATGCGCGGTATGTTGTGGAGGCCTCCAAAAATTCACTGGCCCCCACAGTATAGCATACCTCTTCTAAACACCTACAGGGGTCAGACTTTGGACGCATTCTCGAGATGCAGTTAACGCAATCATTTTGGTTGAGCTTGTAGAGCATGAGGGCGATCTCTGCCAAACCCACGGCAAGCGTATCGAAGTAGAATGGTTGTCAGAAAGGGGCAGCAGAGGTTCCTATGAACGTCCCCTCTGCTATGTCAAACAAGGTGGAGTTGCCTCCACAGCAAAAGAGCAACGCTTGACAGGTTGTGCAGCTCTCCTGTTGGTACTCTTTCTAAGCAAAGGCGTACTGCATGTCCTTGCAAGCCACGGTATTGCTTTCGTATATGCTTCTCGAGGTCTTCAAGCCGTCTTTGGGCCTCAGCGGGAGCAGAATGAATCTGAAAAAGCGTCCATTGATTTGCGCGTTTCATGCGACCTAAAGTGCATAGGCCTAACGTTCTGATTTCTAGGATTATAAAACTGAGCAACTACCCCACGTTGGCTTACCAGCATCCAGCTCCGCAAAAACTCTGCTTCACATTCTTCAAGATCACCAAGGGTAGGCCCACCGAATGAAGCCTATGCAGTGCCAAAACGCATCTTACTTGCATTGGCTGGCCAGACGAACACGCAGGCGACACTTGTCACGTTGAACTCTGAAGGTTGTACTACCTCTACAACTAAGCAGTTCCGTCTTTTCCCACTATTCGTGAAGAACAATACGAACAATAACTCTCATCCGAAGAGAGTTTCGGAGTTCGCTCTCTTTGTAGCTTGTCTCCCGTTTTTGATGCTGTACTTTTACCTTAGTGATTCGTCAATAATCTAGATATCCGAGGTCGTGGGAGGTTACAAACGCTTCTACCCACAATGTGTCGGTGCTGCCTCAAAAATTTCTACTAGATCACGACTGAAGTCATAGATTTAACAGCACATTTGGGCCGTTATTACATATGCAGCTGGAGGCGAGGCCAACTCACCACAAGTTTTTCGGCTGCTTCGAACTGTCCATATCTGAACAAAAGCACAAACATGTTCTACACCTACACTGGTATGCAAGCTGCTGCCCTCTTTCAGGCATTCAAATGCACCATACAACCTGTCCAAGCAGTGGATACTCTGGTCTAGTTTGTGCACGACAGCTGTATGGCCAACTGACTTGCAGTAGAGAATCAGAAGGTTTGCAACAGTTGTTTCCGGAAAGGAGCCCTCATCAAGAAGCTTTGCAAGCAATCTCATACACTCTGCTGGATCGGATCCAGCAAGGGCTAGAGCTTGGTTATGAAGAGTCACGTAGTCGGGTCCTGTCAGTTAAACCCGAAACAGCAAGTTCAATTTTGTTCTTTTCCCTTCCATGTCTGTCAGCAAATACGTGAAGTGCGTATCCTTTGTTCACCGAGTCCGTGATGGATGGTTTTGGCAGAAAGAAATACTGCTTTAGCTCACCGTAGGTTGCCTTATTCGCCAAGGTACTTGACATCAAAAGCAAATGCTCATTTGCAGAATGACCAGTTTCAAGCATATCCACGGCGCAACAGAGATTTGCAGCTGCCGCCTGTAACGCAGTAACTACACTGGCAAATCCTGTATCGCTATATGTCCACACTGCACGCAATCTACTGGTTCACTTGCGAAGCCTACACACCGCGCAACCTGCTCTGTTGCTGTGCACCACCCACTTCACTGACCAGAGCTCTCCAAGTGGTAGATTGATTGTCCGAATGCCCTGTTAGGATGTTTTTTTGAGCCGACAGCTTCTGATGAGATTTTCCACCTCCTGCAATGAACTCAGTTTGGTTTCCTTGGCAGACGGAAATAATTCCTCCAGCAATCCTCGCTGCTACCTCTGTTTCGCCTAACTGCTCGCAAACCGCATAAATCTGAAGATCTTCAGTTGACTTCTTTGGTCTGTAGTGTTTCTTGGCAAGTGCAACGAACTGAATAGCAGATATACTGGGATGGGCTACCCTCTATTGCAGTATACCTTGTAAGCGCATAAGGCCTCGTTATAAGCTAGACTCGGAGTCCAACCATTTTCAGCACTCGCTGCAGCCGCTACTGTGCGACCTTCTTCAAAGCTCCCGCGTCGATAGAGGGCTGCTGACTCGAAAAGCGCTCTCTCGACTGGTGTAAGCGCACACTTTGTGGACTGTGCTGCACACCGTTCGCAGGAACACCAGTATTTTCATGTGCCTTGTCGCCTTAAGGGAAAATTGCTACGCTTATGCATCTTCATTTGAAGAGTACGCCTGTAGATCGCATAGCATACATGTGTTTCCGTTAGCTACTTGTTTGGAGACGGTGTGAGGCGGTGGGGTAGGGACTCGCTTGAAACGGCCTAGCGGACAAATGCCTGCTGCTTCTAGCCTGCTTCTAAGCCCAACGCTGACACCAGGTTGTTGCCCGTATATCTCGCCCTGGATTGTGCAGTACGTCGCGTACAGCTGCGCAAAACGCCAGCCAAAGCAAGCTAGGCATATACAAGCATCTTGACCAGAGTATTGTGCACTATTCTTTTGGGGGAACAGAGCAAACGCTAGGAACAAGGCCAAATGCGCTCCATGCAGTGCCATACCTGATATTCCTCAACGCCAGGGAATGATTCAAACAATTGGCTGTAAACCTCCCCAGCCAATTCAAAGTCCTCTGCCATGTACAGGCAATAGGCAAGTACTGGGAATAGTGCAAACCGCTGCTCCTGCTCAGCAGGGTATGAAAGGCGTTGCAGGAGATTTATTATAAGATCCACCGCCCCGTGAAAGCGTCGTTCACATATCAACGCGTATAGTCGCTCCGTTAGAGCTCCATCCGGAAGGGTTGAGCTCGTGCTCATTGTGGTAGAAAGCTACACCAGGCAAAAAAATGTGGTCGAGAGAGCTGCCTGCAGACTATCGCGGCGAATGTGCAAAAGCAGTTACTGAACAGGGGAACCCTGAACCATGGAGTATGTTTAAGAAAGGTGTTTGAAAAGATGCCCCATTGTGTAACTACTCCGGTGTTTGTACTCAAAGCGCCATTTAGTTTGCAGCGGCATACATCCGAACGGCGCTAGGCGACAATCCGCCTAGCTTGCAAGCAACAAACGCTGCGCCTCCTCCTTGGGGCCATAATGCTTACTCAGAGGGAAGTAAATCTGTGCTGAACACCCAAAGGCATCATTTAATCTGCTTTTAGAAAGCGCAGTTTTTGGTGGAATCGTTTTGGTGGAGTAGATCTGACAGGAGAAACCGGTGGGCGCAATCATCTCATGCGTGCGATGCCAAGGCACTTGGATGTGTTTAAGTTGTAGGACTACGTATGACCCCTCAAATATCGAACACTTTGGCGTAGCTGCCAGGTTTGAATGATGGCAGTCTATGCCAAACGGGTCGAAGTGTATTCCGTCGTAGTTGGCGCATCATTTGCAACCCTACAATGCAGTGCTGGGTACCTAATCTCCCTTCAGTGGTTCCAACATCTATAAAGTGACTTCATATGTGAAAGCTATCGCAATAACATTGCTTAGTGTTCGCGCATCTACCTTACCTGTCACAGCCCAAAGAGAAGAGAGGCCGATGCTGCTTAGCGGCCACATGGGCCGCTTGATGCGAGATTGGGGCTTGCCTGCGGCTATACCAGCCCAAATATCTATAACTACTAAGTTCTGTTTCCTACGAAGTTACGGCGCTTACTTGTATTTGCATATGTCGTCTTCGCTGAGCCTGGGCATCGCCTTCGTCAAGAGCTTGAGAGGGGGTTGACATTTGTGACCTGTGTTAGAGTTCATCAGGCCACTGCGCTGATCTGCCATGTTTCTTGAATATCTTTAAAAAAGCAGCTATGTAAGCTGCATTGTGTGCAGGTCTGAGACATGAATGCCTGCCTAGCTTCCTCCGAGCAAGTTTTCCTTCATGGCTCCGGAATCTAACGCCTAGCCTAGAATCTCCGACTGTAAAGGACGAGTATGCTGATTTCGTCATTTTAACCAGGGGTTTAACGGTTAAACATGAGGGCGTAGTGAAAAATTTCGTCGCCGATTTTGTTAAGTTCCATCTGGGGCTTCGAAGTTTACTACACCACGAAATAGAACATTGCATGCTCTGTCCGTGTACCAAAAGTGCGGAGGGTAGTGGCGTGCTACAGAAATCTCGATTGCTACAAAGAAAAAGTTCTGCCTTAATAAAGTCAGTAGAAGTACGCTTTGGCATAGAAACGCGCAACCGGTCAACCGGTCAGTTCTAGATACAGGCGTGAGGAAGAACACCGCCTCCGATAAACTGGAACTATCCTCACAATTCTTTTTTTTCACCTCCATCCTTGTTTCCTACCTGTGCATCGAGCGCATTTCAGCTTTGCTCTAGAGGAGCCGTGCAGTCGGGAGACTGGCAGTAATCATCATTTGCCACCCTAATTGACATATTTTGCAACAATGCAATTCCCTACGAGCTCCGAAGTTCCCCAGAGTCCGCAGGGTTCGTTCTTGACGCCTACAAGCGGATCAGGCCTAAAACACCGCATTAGAGAGCTTGAATGCATTATTGATTCGGAACTGAAAACTCTTCAGAGACAGGTACAACAGTTGAAGTCGCAGAAAATTGTCCAAGTAAGCACCAGAATTTACGCATTACTGGCGACGGTCTCAAGCATTGCAAATTCACTCCATGACTATCGTCTCACTCCATGGGTCGTTCTACTGCTGCAAAGGTAATTTGTGTTATGTGGTTGCTTCTTAGACCGGCAGAACCGAGGAAGTTGTGCAAGAAGCAAAGGAGGAAATTTTGGCGGCGCTACAACACTCAAAAAGTGAGCTAAAGCAGTTTTTCCTCCAGCAAAGGACCGAAAATCAGCGACTCCATGAGATGATTCGGGCTCTTCGAAACGAAAACTTCGCTTTGCAGCAGAGCCAGCTAGCGCTTCAGCGCAGGCTCCAGACAGCCGAAGTGGATTTGGGACAATAGCATGCAGCCAACTGAAAGGCCAAGGAAAGCCAAGAGAATTTGCCAGTAGGGCCCATATTACAAGAATTATTCGCGATCCATTTCGTGTTGAGGCACATTACATACTTGCGGTGCCGCTAGTGGTTTTTTTAAGTGGGCACTGTGCAAGCCCAGAGAGAAGTTCGTTATTTCCTCCCTGGCCCATGCAACCAGCAATAAACGACCAGAAAGTGGCGGCATCATCGGGAGCCAAACTTTAGCGTTCGGACTGACACAGCCATTATTATTTAGAATGCGGTATTTTTCGGAGTGTGAGGCGGATTCGTTGTATCGCTGACAAATAATGAGTGTATTTTGGGGAGGCACAGAGCATAAGAGACGCATGCGTACGCGCAAAACAAGGGGGGAAAGCATTCCACGTAGTCGCATTCAGCTTCTTGTTGCAACACGAACCATCACTGGGTGTTCACAGTAAATACGCGGGTAGGTCCAATGAGACAAGGTGCTTTCGCTTCGGCGGACTTCGGCACGAGGCTCAAAAGTCCGTTAGAATGCGTTGGTTCTGATTGTGGTAAAAACAAGAGCAGCAGTTGCACGTAGGCTCCCGCGACCGCTACACGGATACTCTGTGGATGCTGAAAGACTCATTTGATACATTGTTCAACACAGCAACGCTGTGTTGAACAATGTATCGAACGTTTTAGCCTATGCAATAGCCACGGCGTTTGTCTTGAGATCCCTTCACCTTCCAAGGCCGATTGGCCGTGGCTTCCTGCGGGAGCAGACTCACAAAAACTAGCACCGTATCGCGCAATCAGAGGTGCCAAAGCTTTCCGTTAACGGGCTTTCCGCAGCCATGGAGTATGCTGCCTCAAAAAGCTGGTTTAGAAGGTACTGTCCTTGCTGATGCCGGTAGAGAGGTAACGAGAGATCAAGAGCCAATCTGGAGCAACGCCGATATAGACAGATAATCGCCTGCGAGAAGCAACGCCTATTTGTCTGGTACCTTCGTCCGGTTAGGATACGCCCCACATGCTGGACACTTTGCCTACCACTTAAAGGATGGAGATGCGAACTACGCCTTCAGGTCCCGGGAATCAGCAAAAATTTGTTGCAAGCAGAATAAGGAGGAATTGAAACGCACTGCTGCTCCGTATCAGCTTGCTTTGCTTCAGGCTTTTCGTGTGCCACCCGCGTCACACTTGCCTGTCCCATATTGTTCTGGAAAATTACCAGCCAAAAGCAACAGTGTGCAACTAAAAGAAGCCCTCCTAGTAAAGGCGGTTTGTGGGTTACCGTGGTTGTCTCAGTACGCTGTTAGAAAGTATTCGTGCCTCTCTGAACTCTATTTGGAGCCGAACCCGCCTTAAGCTATCCCCTTCAAATCCTTACAGTGAGATCTTGCTTTGCGACGATTTACCGACGTATTTTGGCATTTCTTTTGCTCACTCTAATTGTGCGGTGGCTTAGCACATGCTTGGGCTATCTTAGGCTGGTTTAGCCGACTACAGTGACTCATCACTACTGTATTCCGCTGATGTAGCTCAAAATGTTCAATCTGCTGGCAAATTTAGTAGGAACTTCGGTTATCATGCCACATTCTCGTAATGTAGCGTGAAGATGACAATGTACGTGGTCTTGGGCACGAACTGGCTTAGCTGCAGAGAAAGCGAGGGTCGGATTCGTCTCGCGCAAGGTGACCATCCAGGTATGTGGTGCGATTGATTCGGATATGTGCATCCAATAACTACTGTGTTTTAGTCTTTTGTTGTTGCTTTTGTTTTTGTTGTTTTAACCAGTAGTTCCTACGTCTCTAATTGCATCGTCCCGTTGACAACCTGTAGTGTCGGGGCCTAAAGATCAAAGGCTGCAAAAGGTGCATCTACGCTTTCAGCTCCCTCCTTTAGCATTGCTTACCGTTCCTCTTTGCAATACCAGCACGGAAAATCCCCTATGGCTAGCCGCATCAATAACTGGACTCTGGCAGAAGCTAGCTTGTTGGGGGTCGACGGCCTCTCGATCGATACATCGATTCTCCAAACCACAGATATGCCGAGTAAGTAGACGAAACGTTAGTTAGCTACGGCCATTTGTTTAAGGTGCGTTCTCTGTCACGGCCTCAATATCGGTAGAAATCATCATCACGCCTCCGTGTTCAACAATTACCGCGTTTAAGCTGGACGGGGCATTGTCAATATTCTGCATTGCACCTTTAATGAACTCAATCTACCCGAAGAATAAACGCAATTTAACCCGCGCCTCACTAAACGGTGAGCGAACACTTTTCTTCCGGATCTACCTTTCCTAAACCCCGCATATCAACCCTGCTGTTCCGCCGCACGGGGATGAGTGCAACGTCAATCGCTCAGCGAATATGCGGGTGGCAAACGATAATACTAAGAATAGCAGAGGAAAAGGTGAAGGCATGGGAACTGCTTCTTCAACGGCGGGGAAGCAAAAATTTTGCGGGCTAGTACTGCAGAGAGATCACAACATCCCAACCATTCAAAGACAGCCTGCACTTGAAACAGAACAATGCCGAACTTTAGCATCCAGCAAGCTCTATCACCTGACCTCTTCCGGTTAGCGTCAGCTAGGCACTGGCACCCGCCGACTAGCAGTGTCCAGGGCAGGCGTACTGACTCGGCGCACAGGCTAATGCGGGGCCCCACTGCTGAAGAGGCCAGCTGACTGGTAGAAAAGGTTTCTTACTCTGTCTAGATAAGAACATTTACACTAAATCCTAATAAGTGCACTGGTTAGAATGCACTTATTAGGATAGTATACTGGCTGAGTTATGAGCCCTATAGGACGCCTGGCGAGCAGCAGGCCAAGCATCCATGTTTAGGGTGCTCCCCTAGTTTTGCCAGGTGAAGGGAGCTGTAGGCCGTCGGCGTAATAGCCCGTATTCTTGCAT